TTGTTCTTGACCTGTAAAGATTTCATCATGGAAGATTAATACTGATGCTGCTGCTGCCTGTTACTGGTTGTTTCTCTTTGCAGGTGCCAATATCGGTCAGAGAACAGGATTTCAGTGGCAGAGTTGTTGCTATACTGTTATCTCTTCAGAACGGAGGCACAAGGAGAGATGAATGCCACATCGCAAGGAGCAAAGGAGAGAGAGAGAAAGAAATGGTGTCAGGTGGCATGTTGGATGTGATTTTTGTTTTAGTAGAGATTGAGATGACTGTAAATTTTTTAGTTGCTTCCTTCGGTCTGCAAAGATACATTTGTGTTGGTGCTGATGATTCTTGACTAATCCTGTTTCAATTACAAATGGGTTATGTTCTTCCAATAAAACTTCTGGCACTTATATTCAGGGCTTATAAATCAAATAAACATACTCTCATACGCTCACACCAAAACAAACACATTAAAGCCAATCCCTACTAAACTATTTAATATTCCATATGGAGATGACAAACTTTCTATATGCATTTTCTCCAACTAATCAAATATTTAAAATAAAGAAGATAGCAAAATTTGAAGACTAGAAAATAAAGAGCAGCACATATCCACATGGTGTTCTTATCACAATCCTGAATAACAGCAGTGTCAAGACATAGCTATTGGTTCTAATAACTTTCAAAATTCTTATTTCCTCATCAGTTTGGGGTATTATGATCAGTAATATGTATCTTTAAAAAATACTATGACTATGAAGAGAATCTATTACAATGATGTTAGTTTTTCAGGTTTTCTTTTTCTTCTTAGCTATTTTTGTTAATTTAGTGACAATCCTTGAAAGCACACCCACACAGTGTTCTTCAAGTCTAGAATAATGATCTGAGACTATACAATCAACCTAGTAGAGTTTTCAAATCACAAAGACAAATCTAAACCCCAAACTGACATGCCACATAAACTTTTTCATAACTGGAATCTATCAAAGACTGGTATCAAGACAAGATCAACCATAAAAGCAAACTGGTATATGGTTAGTTTCCTCAAACGCACAGATATCATTAGTACCTTTGCCTCAAAGGAATAACTTTTTAAAGACAGGAAATTACTTCCTTTGCAACTGGAGCTCTCAATAAGTGATAACTGGGGAAGTTTAATGTAATTACTGCTAACAAAAAAGTTACTTGTTCTTTTTGAAATAGTTTCAGGAATAATTTTATAGTCTCCATATATTTTATTACATAGTTCTAGTCTGGGAAATCCTTAAGATATAAAAAAGTTATTTTAGAGAATACTTATAGTTTTTTTTAAATGTGCTTTTCTCTGTTGACCTTTAAAAATAATTGAGTAAAAATCAATAAATTAGTTAATAATAAAGAAATGTTCTAGTTGATAACAGTAGTCACTAACATAATCCCAAGAAAGGAAACATGTGACAGAAAGAGAAAGAAAAAAGTGTGTGAAAAATAATCTATTTAAAACTGCCTTCCTTTATCTGTAATGAAAATGAAATAGCATATTTCTAAAAAAAATTTTAGGAAAAGCAAACATTCCCACTATTCTAAGAGAGATGCAATGAAAGCTACAAGTGGATTAATTCTTCTGAATATGAAGAATCAACTTTCTATTCATCTACAACAAAAGAATTCTAGGAATAAATCACATGAATAGCCACTGAAATAGGAGTAAGAAAAGGTTCAAGTTCTGGGTTTGTCACTTACTAGCAGTATTACTTCAGAAAAAGCATATATGGAACATCTTGGCACTCAAAAAGTTAAAATTAATGTTCACTCAAATATGGTTAAAAATTCAAAGTCTATAAAGTAATATTATATAATTCTCTTGAAATGGGAATTTGAATCATGCCTGTATCAGGCACGATGTGGCAATAAATCACTTAGTGAATGAATGAGCAATGATTGTATAAACTGACAGTAACTAAAACAATAAATATTAAATAAAACTCTTGATACAGGGGGAAAAAAGGTGATGCTGCACAGTGATTTTCCTACTCTCACAAGACGAAACTAATAATAAGTCCATAAGTAAGTTTACATTTAAATTTTGGTGGTAACTGGAAATATCTATTTATTTTATCCATGTACTTACTTTTGGAAATTTTATTCTTTACTCTATCATACATTAACAGCTTTGGATTTGTTTTTCTAATCCTACAGAGAAGCATAAAATGTGAACTAAACTTTGTGATTTATTCAATAGTAAATATATTTTTTTCACAATTTAGTTTACCTATTCAATTATTATGATGAAATATAATGCATGTCATAAATTATCCATTTCAAGAAAAAGTAAATAGGCCTCCTATTCTTGTAAGTCCATATGGCATGGGCTTCCCAATGAAGTTTTGTCCTTCAGCACTAACATAATCTAATGATTAATTCTGCTTTATATCAAGATCTTACAAAAGGGAGAGAATGAGTCACTCTTGCTAATGCATGAGTATGCCAGGCTCCAAATCTAAACCCTAAACTGACATACCATGGGTTATATTTCCTGTGTAGGATATAACGAACATCAAATATTCACAGATCAGATCAGATCCAGCCTGTGGTAGAAGCTACCTAATTACAAGTTGGGGTACAGTTTATGTCAGCTTAATAAACCTAGGTGTATAGGGAGCCAATAAGACAAGAGGTAATAACATCTTTTCTCTTGACTCAAGCCTGTCCTGTGTGAGTTATAAGTTTATCTAATCTTTGCTTTTAAAAAACAGAATGACTTATTTTCCAACTGTGCTTTAGAATGCCATATAACTTATTTTTAATACATGTTCTTTATTGCCTATTATATTTTTTAATTGTACAACTAAAAAATTAGTACCCAGTTGTAAGCAGACAACTGCTATTTATGTAATAACGTGACATTACTTGCTCACTTTTGTTCTCCATATGTACTAACTACTATCAACTTTCTTTATAATGCATTCATTCTTCTCACCCAAAATAGCTTCTCAGAAGAAAATATGAATATTTATGACAGGAGAGTATGTTTCAGCATTATTAGTTAATTCATTCTCCCAAAATATTCCATGATGGAAGTTAAAGAAAAGTTATGTTGTAAATTAGTTAAGAAGAAGATGAAGTCAGAAATCTAAGACTGCTCAGTAAATTCAATAAAAGCTAAAAGAAAAAAAAAGCAGGAAAGAGATTATGGAGGGGACAATTATTAGAAAGAATAAATACAAAAAATGTAGAAGTGAAACACTGAGAAAGAGGATAATGTGAAGGTTAGAAGAGAAGGTGTGGTACTCTAGAATATTTTACAAGTGTTTATATGATATCTAGACATATAAGTATACCTCACTTTAGAAAACCAACGTATTTTTCACAGAAACCAAATATTTTCAAAGTATCTGGAAAGCTTTAAAATCAACCAACAACCAACCAACCAAAACCAAACTTTCCTTTGAAGTCTTTTCAAAAATGTATTTTTTGAAATAGCCAATTCCTAATTTAACTGCTTTATAATTTCAGATTTTATATAAAAGATTTTCATATAATAAGGCACACATGTAAAATATCAGCATTAGAAAGGGTAATTTAAAATTTGCTATTATATGTGAAAATAATAACAGTCCAGTCAAAGCTCTAAGTACATATTTAGTATCAGTATAATTAAGTAAATACTTAGTATCCCTTTATCACTAAAGGCTAGTTAGAAAATAATTGTTAAATCTTTATATGGAACATCAAGCACATGTCCCTAAGAATTCATTTTGAAAATAGCTTAAGTGGGCAGGCAAATACTTACAGCTCATTCTGTACTAAAAATCCCCCTTCCCTTCTATAGTTCCATTTTTTATAAAATTATTATAGTTCTAAAGCTCCATCTGTTATAGAGAATAGACTGAAGTTGCCAACTATATTCTCAAAGAGGAGGAAAAGTAGTCAATAATTACAACAGAACAGAATAGAAAGACTTAAGAAAAAAAGGACCAAAATAAGTCATTTCAGAATTCACTGTTCAAGTAGTTGAGGTTGAAGCTTTGTGCATAGTAGCAAAGACAAATATGGCATAGTAAAGGACACTAATGCAAATTATATATAAAACATTTATAATTTTTTCTATTTCCTGTAATTAAATGGTAGGGGTCCCCAGCATATTGATAACATTTTAAAAACAAATTAATATATAGTGCAATAACAGCTGCTACCAGAATGGGTTTCTCTGTTCTACCTTACCCTAACCCATGGAGATGACTTCATAGATATTATTATCAATTAGTCCACCAACTCAGTTTTAGCTATAATTCAGCCTATTAAAAAATTTTTAACAACCTGACAAGCAGAAAGAAGAATTAAAAATTGGGTCAAAGAGAAAGAATTTTATGTCTGTCGAGTAACTTTCATTTTGCGGGGAAAAAAATCTGTTAACTACTTCTTTGAAATGGTTTGAATTAAAATTAAGACCTGTAAAAACAATGGGCTGATTACAATTTCAGAGTTTACAAACAAGTACAAAGCTACACATTACATAGTAATATATTTTTTAAATTATATCACTTTATACTATTACTGATGATTAGGCTCTTTTAAATTTTTCCATGTACATCTTTCAATCAATACATTTAATCATGCCTTTAAAAAATTAAAGTTAAGCCAAATAAATACATTTTCTATTTATTTATAATTGTCATTTCAACTTATTATGAAATGGACACAAACAATATGGAATTTTGTATTTCATTTTAAAAATGAAGCATTTTTTTTTTTAACCAAAAGTAAAGACCCTAGAGATCTGGCCAGGAATCACTCCTCCAGGATAGGGACCTGGTTTATCAGTATCTCAAGATTTTTAAGTTGCCACAAGATAAAGAAATGTTAGTTTAATATACTCAACATAAAAATGTAACTTTAATGCACCTCTATTCTTATCTGAAGTTTTTAATTTGAGATCTTTCTCTCTTAAATTTTGGCTTCTTAAATAAAAGATTTGAAACTCTTTATAAACTCTGGTAACAAGTTCAAGTAAAAATCCAGCATATGCTTCACATACCTTTTTGAGATGTCCTAGTCTAAGTTTGAAAATTTCTTCCTGTTCATGATATTCTGCCAAAGTCAACCTGTCAAAAGTGAAATTTTAATTCTACATATTGAGATTAATACTTATTTATTATTAAACAACTAGCAAATATAAAATTAATCAAATGGAAATACTAACATGTGGACAATTTTCAGCCCCAAATAAAATATATAAGCCAAACCTTTTAAAATATTATTCAGAATATATTTAATACTTATAGATGGAAGAATTAACTAATTCCACAACTATTTAATGAATATCTCATATCAAGCAATGTTCTAGAATTTAGATCCTAAGGATATAGTTAGTGAAAAACAAGACAATTTCTCCTTACATTTTAGTTTGAGTGCTACTGTATAGTGGGGGTGAGGAGGTAGAAAAGAAACCATTTAATGATGAAATAAAACAACTTTAAGTAACAATAAATGTTATGAAGAAAACAAAAAAGGGTGGTGTGGTAATGACTAATTGTATTATGCTAATTCAGACTAGGTGTTAGGGAGGTGACCTTGATCTAAACATCAAAGACAACCATGAAGAACCTGGGGGAGCATATTCCAGACATGGATTATAGTAAGTGCACAGACCCTAAGATGAAAACAGTGTTAGCATATAAGTAGAAAAGAAAAATATCTGAGCCTCAGAATGTAGTCAAAGAGGTTGTGAGTAGCAGTAGGAGAGGCAAACAGGCATCATGTATGGATTTGTGGGTCAAGTAAAGAATTTAAATTTTACTCTTAAGAGTAGTGGAAACTCACTGCAAAGGGAGTCAGTACAGTTTGGGCATAGTATTAAAAAGAGAAAAAAAAAAGATTCTTCTTCAGTGTTAGGAGTGAATAAGCAATATAAATGCTAAAACCATAGTCAAAGTACCAAATTCTTATACTTCAAATTCTTAATAAATAGATACAAGACTTTAAATCTTTAAAGTGCTGCATGGTTATTTTTATTTTCAAATATTCTTACATAACTTTGAAAAATAACCAGATTAATATATGCAGAACCATAAGACTTATACACTTTGTATTAATAACATTTCCTAAGAAAAAATGATTCTGTGTTCTGATAAAGAAAGAAAAAATAACCCCAAAACAAAGTAACTTCCACATCCTCATTCTCCAGTTTGAAAAGAACTGCTGTTATCTATCATATTGAAGCCACTGTTTGTTAGCTTACATATGCGTTCTGAGGGTATTTGCTTAAGCTCCTAACTAAGGTGTGATTTATTTATGTTTGGTTCAGGTCCCTAAGCAACATTTAGTATAAATGCTATTTCCCTTTAGCTAGATGCTAATTAAGTTTACTAATTCTAAAAAGGGGGTATGCAAAGGAAATAAAACCAAGAAATTCAGTTAATATTCCACTAGATACATCCTAACAGCTAAAAGTTAAACATTTTAAATTAATTCTGCCTATCCAGTCTTAGGGTAACTCAACTTCTGCATTTTATTACACTGAATATAGCAAGACTTGACAGCTGTAGCAGTTGCTTATAGTATATCTAGAGAATTAAATGTTGCAGTGTGAACAGAGACAAGGTAAGAGAGGAAGAAGGGTTCAGAAAGGTAATATTGAAAGAAAATGAGGTTTGGAAACTAAAATTGATAATATCTCAACTAACCCAGTTAAGGAAATCTGTAGGAAAATCAGCAAATAGCTTCTGGTTATGCATACAGGTTTGTGCCACTGGTGGAAGTTTACCTGTATAACAATATCATAATCTCCTAATTTTAAGTATGGTTTTTAGGCTCATTAGTAGGCCACAGGATGGGCTCAGAATTAATTTTTTAAAGATATGTAAATATTTTTTGTTTTCTATATAGGAACAAAATGTAATTCTATACTTCGATTCTGAGTTACAATATGGCTAAAGTTTGGTATTCATAAACCAAAATTAGTATATGACTTGAGTTTTCTGAAATTTGTGTAGTCATATCCTACCAAGAAGTCTGGCTATCATGCAAAATTGCAAAGCTCCTTCACATGCAGATGGCTGGACTTTCTGCAATTTAGGGGGAGTTGGCAGGTTTTAGGTGGAGTAGTCTTGAGTTGGCATGCTACTGACTTTTCCAGGGCAGTGATTCTTAACATTTTACAATTGTAGATAACTAAAAGAAATCTGAAAGTAGTTATAAACACTTCCCCTAGAAAATTTTACATACATACCATCTTGGGGTTCACAGATCCCAGTTTAAGAGTTTCTATTCCAGCGTCTTATCTTGACAAGTAGAATGCAAACCCCTAAACTGGCAAAAGAGCCATTTCTTACATTTCTCTGCATCTTTCTGTTAGGCGTTACCTGACATATACCAGCTTTTTAGATACCTGTTGTCTATTTGCTTTAACAGAAAATGTTCTCAAAAGAAATCTATAGATTTAAAAAAATTGGGGACAATCTTCTTTAAAGAAATAGGATTTTATTGCATAGAATAAAAAGAGCTAAGCTAGGAAAATATTAACATTAATAGCTTTTAATTACCAATTATTTTAATTTGTTTTTAGATGCTTAAAAAATCTACCCTCTCAAGTAAGTGAGTTAAGTTACTTAGCAAATCTTTTACTCAGATAATGCAAAGATATAGCTGATCTCTTCCTAAATGAATCATACCTGATATTAAACTAAATTATTAATATTTTATTATATGCACATATACATACATGTATATTTATTTAGGAGTATGCTGAAGCTCCTAAATAAAGCTGTTCAGTAGGTTTATATAAATTAACTTTTATTTAAAAAGTCAACAAGTTTAAACTCTAAACATAAGACTTAATTCCTGACAATCTTCCATAGTAAGTTTGTGTGAATGAGAAATTTATTTTTAATTTAAGAAGTGTTTTATAGTAGTTTACTAGGAATGTGGTATGACAGTATTAGAAATAGCTAGTAGAAATAACAGAAAACACTAATTTTAAGCAAATTTGACATTCAATGTTTTAAAGACATTCTGTTTAAAAGCATGAAGATTCAACAGTAAGGAATACAAACTACAGTAAATAGACTATCAGAGGTACTTACAGTCTGTTTGTTTATTACAATATAACAAACCTTGAACATTTAACCAAGAGCCATGCACTGAAGATCAGATTTTTTAAATGGGGGTAGGGAGTATAGAAGGGATGAGACTAGTCTGCCTTTTAAAATAGTTACCCTTTACTATTACGCTCTGAAAACAGCCTTTGAAAAGAGTTTTCTGCTTGAAAATAGTTAAGCAGTTCTTAAACAAATTAAACATAGACTTACCAGATGACCCTGAAATATCACTCCTAGGTATACACCCAGAAAAAATGAAAACATATGTTCCAACAGAAACTTCTACATGACTAAGAATAGAAGGGAACTTCCTCAAAGGTATAAATGGCATTTATAAAAACCAGACCAACTTTAGTTTGTAACAGTGTCCAATCCCCCCAGCCCCTGAAAAAAGCAGACCAACTAACATCATATTTAACGGTGAAAGACTGAAAGATTTCCCCCTAAGATCAGGAACAAGGTAATGATGCCCACTTTTACCACTGCTATTAGTACTCTATGGGAAGTCCTACCAGAGCAGTTTGGTAGAAAAAAAGAAATAAAATGTATCCAAATTGTAAAGGACAGAGTAAAACAATCTGTATTCATAAATGACGTGACTGTATTGGTAGATAATCCCCAAAAGTCTACAAAAAAAAAAAAAAAAAACCCACTACAGCTAATAAATAAATTCAGCAAGGCTGCAGAGTATGAGATCAATACACAAAATTAGTTGTACTTCTATACACGAGCAATGAACAACATAAAAAAGATATTAAGGAAGCAATTACATTTACAATAGCATCCAAAAGAATACAATACCTAGGAATAAATTTAACCTAGGAGGTTACAGATTTGTATACTAAAAACTACAAAACATTGCTAAAGAAATTTAGAAAGAGCATATTAAATGAAAAGACAACTTATGTCCATGGATTCAAAGACTTAACATTAAGAGTACAGTACTTCCCAAAGTGATCTACAAATTCAGTGCAACCCCTATCAAAATTCCAATGGCTCCTTTTGCTGAAATGGAAAAGCTAATGCTCAATATTCATAAGGAATTACAAGGGGCCCCAAACAGATAAAATAATGTTGAAAATGAAAAAACAAAGTTGGAGGACTCACACTCCCAATTTCAAAACTTACTACAACAATCAAAACAGTGTGGTACTGCCATAAGAGTAGACATACAGATCCATGAATAAATTTGAATCCAGAAAAAAACCCAAAAATCTATGGCCAGTTTATTTTTAACAAGGGTACCAAGACTATTCAAAGAATGGGAAAGAATAGTCTTTTCAACAAATGGTGCTGAAACAACCACAGAACCACATGCAAAAGAATGAATTTAGATTCACCACCTCCCTTCTATGTACAAAAATTAACTGAAAATGATCTAAACATATTAGAAGACAACACAGGGATAAATCTTCATGATCATGAATTTGGCAAAGGATTCTTAGAGCTATACACCAAAAGCATGAGCAACAACAAAAATCAGTAAAATAAACTTAATAAAAATTTAAAACTTTTGTACATCAAAGGACATTCTCAAGAAAGTAAAAGACAGAATGGGAGAAAATGTCTGCATATCATATATCTGATAAGGGTTTAATATTCAGAATATATAAAGAACTCTTACAACAAAAAGAATTAAAGAACAAAAAGATAAACAGTCCAATTAAAAAATGAGCAAAAGACTTGAATAGACATTTCTCCAAAGAAGATATAAAAAGGCCAATAAGCACATGAAAAGATATTCGACCCCATTAAATCATTAGGTAAATACAAATAAAAATCACAATGAACTATCACTTTATACCCACTAGGATGGTTATGATTTTTAAAAAGGGAAAATAAAAAATATTGCCGAGGATGTGGAAAAACAGGAATGCTTATTCATTGCTGATGGGAATGTAAAATGGTGCAAATGTGGAAAATAGTTAAGTAGTTCTTCAATAAGTTAAACATAAAATTATCATACAACCCTGAAATAGCACTCCTAGGTATATACCCCAAAGAAA